GCAAGGAGAATGACTGTATTAGAAAATAACCAGGGCTCAGTAATGCACAATAATCAATACAGCTGTAATCAGGTAAGATAAAGTTATGAAAGGTAACTAAAGGGAACTAAAGGCATGAGAGGTAACTAAAACTGATAAAGTAACTAGAGTCTATAAGACTCAAATCTTACACACGCCTCTCTGCTGTCTCCTTGCAGCTGCTACCCACCCAACGCTCCCAGTACCCCATAGAGACTGTGTCTGCCTCCCGACCATCTAAATGATATAAATCAAAAATCAACTCGAGGAGTTATTCATAAGAACCTAAAGCATATATGTCAAAATCTGGCCCACGGTGTAAGTATATTTGGCCCGCGAGATAATTTCAAATGTTTATTAGAGCTGGCCCGCCAGTATATATCGCATGCACCGCTAATACTGCAAATCCCAGAATGCTTTGCTAGTGCGTTGTCGCGTCAATCAAGACCCGCAAGCACCTTCTGTTGACATTCATTAGCAACCTCATGCTACCAGCCACCTCGGGTAAATTTAATCCACCTCTCCCTAAAGATGGCCAATCGAAAGTTGGAAAACAGGAGCTTTCAAGAGAGGTGGGAGGAAGATGATCTGTTAATTAATGTAAAGGACAGACCTGTTTATCTTGTGTGCGGAGCCAACATGGCTGTAACGAAAGAATATAACATAAGAGACTATGAAATGACACACCAAGACAAATGCACGGGCCTGGGCGTGAAGCAGAAGCTCCAGAAGGTATAGCAGAGGAAAAGAAGTCTGGTTTCACGGCAGTAAATGTTCACGAAACAATATGAAATGAATGCCACTGATGTTTTTTTTTTTATTTGATTTCTCATGTGTTTATAATATTAAGCTTTGCTTGTTCCAAATTCAGTGTTTAAGCAACTTGTTTGTCTCCATATGAAAAAGTTTATCATATATTTGGAGAGAAGGGGAAACATGCTGTTTTTTCAATATTTCAATAGAGTCTGGCCCACAACTGTCAGTTTTTAATTTTGGCCCACTGTACATTTCAGTTTGACACCCCTGACCTAAGGTAGTGACTTTAACTAGATACGTGTATGTGTGAATCCTCTTTTCTTTAATTAAATTAGTCTGATACATGAAATAATTTTCTTAACCACAGGGAAATGGATGTTTCACATCAGACTATTCTAAAGACTGTAACTGAATTAAAACAGTTAATCCTCTTTTTTGGTAATAAAATATTAGGCTGATGCATAAAGTAATTTTAAGCGTTGGAAAAGGCAGCTGTTTCACAGCACTGAAGTTCAGTTGCGATGTATTCATTTTGGAATAGTCTGATACATTTTCCATTTCAATAATATTGGAAATAATTGTCTTAAATTTCAGGAACCACAGCCGTTTCATGCCAGCTATGTTGGTTAGGTTGATGTGTACAAACAGCACAAGGGCGGGACATTGGCGACCCTTTGGAACAGCAGTACAGGATCTGTGTAAACAACAACTACAGAAAACGAGGCACACCAATCCTGGCTCGAATAGTGCATGCCTAATCTAAACATATCATTTCATACAACTTGACAGTTCATTTTTTTTTCCAAAGTAATGTTTCCTCAATTTTTTTTAAAGCAGACTTGTTAAAATTTACAGTGCACTTGCAACTGTCCAGAGTCCTTTACTTAGAGGAAGTCAAACTCTTCTCCTTATGGTCCACCTAATATCATGTAACAAAATGATTTAAGAAGGAACATAAGAACCACTAGTTAAGGCCCACGTTGTTCAAAGCAGGAGTTTATTGAAGTCCCATTGATCCACAGATGCCTGATCAAATGAAGACTTGGGAGTTAAAGTAACTGATGAAAGCACTCATATTCCTTTTGTTCAAAATGAAAATGCATGTAGAATGCAATCAGATACGAAAACACTGTAGTTATGTAAATTAGCATGCTCAAAAAGCTCATTTATCTAGACAAGTAAAATAAAATTTCAATCATCTGCAGAGTCACTATAAAATCTGTTACATATTTTCCATAAGCAACACCAGGGCGCAAAGCTCCAAAGCAAAACTTAGTATAAAACTGTGACCGTGTCATCTACTGTCGCATTTACATTTAGGCATTCTCTTTTACATCAGACATGGAGTAAAGGCTGATATAAAAAATATTGGTAATGAAGAGTGATGCAGAAAGCCAGTGATGTTTAAGTGCCACTGTCAGTTTCTACCAACAGAGCACTGATAACTTGATTTTTACACTGTAAAACCCCCGATGTGTACATTAGTTGGCTGCAACTCGTTAAAACCCAACTTGAAGGAATCTTGGTCAAAAATGTTTGCTCTGCATTTATATGAAAAAATAACATTGGCCAATATGTAATTAGAATTTTTAAAAACTCCACAATATCAATATTGGACTTAAATTAGTGTTGGTCGGGCTTTAGTGTAGAATTTAGCCTTTACCCTCATTATCCAAAACTTCAGCTTTCTCACTTAAACAATTATATAAACAGCAGTAAAATCTGTGCACAACAATAAAGGAACGTTTGAAAAGTCCTGCCGCAAGTTATAAAAGCCAATACATAAAGTATTACCACAAGTATTAGAATTGCTGTGCTGTCCTGTAGAATAAAATATAAAGCATTACTTCAGTGACAAAAAACACTATGGTGCTCCAAATTAGTATTCATCTGCAATTTCAACATGCAGATACAGTATATTGTGTTCGCCATTGAAACCAAGTTAAAGCCTGTATGTAAATACTGGCAGTAATAGAAAAACGTGGAAACTCAATACCCCAAACCAAGTATCTGAACAGTGTGGGAATGTATAAAACAAACACCAAACCTACAAAATACTGTACTGAAACGTTTCAAACGTGTGACTTTATTTACCGTCCCCTGACCTATAACCCGTGTATGAATACTTTTTCCTGTAAACATCCACAAGTAAAAATATTTAACAATTCTCTTCCTGTATTGCACTTAATAATAGCATGTGTCACTGATACCAACAGTCCAAAAGATAACAGGGCTGGTTGTGACAGTGCAGTAATTAGACCGGCCTGTAACAGGCATCCGGCTGCCACATATGCAGATCCAATAGAATCTGGTTCAGTTTCTTCATCCACAGATTCCTCTCATCCTTTGTGTCAGCACTCAGCCAGTTCCTGCACAGAATAACAAAGTTCAGCTATGCAAACAAACCATTTTTTAATAGGCATGTTAAGATGTGCGTGTGTGTGTGTGTGTACAAAAGCCCCTTTTCCGTTGCTGGTACTAGCTCACCTCTACACTACTCACTTTTGGTACCAGCTGCTTCGTTTTCCACTACAGACAGTCCTCCCCGCAGTATAGCTGGCTGTCACAGCGATGGCTGCATTACACTGCTGTGACATCATCAGCAACTGACAGTAACAGTGGAGGACATTAAAGGTGTGCTGTTCTCGATTCTCAGTATGTGGCTGTTTGTCACAGCAAAGAGAAATTTTGCTTCAGAAGCGGCTGAAGGGAGCCAGAAGGGAGCCTGCCGAAACAAATAGGAGAGTCTGGCAAACAGTACCTTGGAGTTCAGACGACGGGACGACTCTGGCTGTGCAAAGGTGACACAAGAGGCCAAGTTATGCGATTTCTCTGACCAATCACTAGCTTCCAGTGTTTACACTTCACTGACTGGTATCATGTCAGCTTGCTTGGAACCTTGGTGGTACCAAAAATAGTACCAGGTACTATACCTAGGGCTGGGCCAAAATATCGATTTTATCGATTAACTCGAATGTGTAGTTTACATCAGTTTGTTTGAATGAAAATCAGTTTTATCTTTAACTTCCGCCGACGCTCCCCTCTCGGCTCCCATAGTTGGGGGTGGGCTCAGCCCTCCTGCTTGTTTGCCATAGAGATAGCATGGCAGCGAGCAGGGAAGAACTCGTTCAGAAAAAAGGCACAGTGTCATCAGTAATATGGAATTGGTTCGGTTTTGCCGTGTCAGACGCAGAACAAACAACACCCCGCTGCAAAGTGTGTTTAAAGTCTGTTGCTACCAAAGGTAGCAGTACAACCAAATTAATGCAGCACCTCAAACAGAGGCATGCTGCTGAGTAGGAGAGATGTCACGCCCTACGAAACGAACGAGACAGCGGGAGCCAAAGTACACCCACCAAAAAACAACCCACAGTCTTACAAACATTTACAAATGGTATCCCGTATGATAAGAATGGGACCCGATGGAAAGCGATCACGGAATCTGTCGCGATGTATATCGCAAAAGATATGGTGCCCATATATACACTGTGGAAAATCCGGGGTTTAATCACATGCTGAAAGTTTTGGACACCAGGTATGTTTTACCAAGCCGCAAATATTTTTCTGCCTCAGCTATATAACAGTACACGCCAAAGGATCACTAGGGAGCTGGAAGGAGTGTCGTTTTACTGCGCAACAACAGATTTGAAAAAAAGATTTTAAAAAACCGATTTAAATCAAATGTTTTGTGAAAAGAAAAAAAAAAAATCGGGGATTTTTCTTAGGCCATATCGCCCAGCCCTAACTATACCCAACGTGACTGATGGAAACACAAATAAGGCGAGTCAAGTTGAGTTGAGCCGGTACCAGGCGGTGGAAAAGGGGCTATATACACACACACACAACAATATGTACTTACTTGGTGACACACATGGTATTTTTGCACTGACTGACAAGTGTCTCTTTGTCATCCTCTTTTTGCGGTCTGACTGTGATGAGCTCAAATGTGTTTGGTCTGGCACAAAACTCTCTTTTGGCTGGTTCGACGTTCTTACTGGTGCAGCTAGCCAGGTTGATGCGACCAATGGGATTCTGGCAGAAGAGGCAACAAGAAGATCAACACACATACAAACAGCTGAGAAACACTGACAGGAGGATCCGTCTCTCTACATAGGCATGGGAA